GCTTGTGCCGGCTTCCACCTGACCGCTTGTGCAGTGGCGGGCACGTGCACCTGGGTGCCACAAAGGCTTGGCCAGCCTGCCTCCCTCGCTGAGAAAGAGCAGGGCTGTTGTGAGGATCAGCATTCCGCAGAGGGTACTTGGGAGCCTTAGTTCTGACCAGACATTGCTGGAACGGGTAGCCCCATCCAGGCCCGGACACTGCGGGAGCCCACGTGCCCCCGGGTCAGCCATGGCTCCAGGCTGAGGGGTCTGCAGCCCACAGGCTCAGAGCCACCCCTTCCGGGGTCAAGCAATGGTGAGAACCAGCTGGGCCTGCACTGTGGCTCCTTCAGAGGCGGCCGAACCCACAGTCCTGCCCTCAGTGTCTCCTGGCTGGTGCCGGGTGGAGAGCCCACTTCCTGTCAGGAGCCTGCGACACACTTTTGCTGGCTGAGGTGGCATGGGCGGCAGCTTCCATCTCAGTGAGCCACCTGATCATAAGTTCTTTGACCAAGTTCCCGGGGGATGAACAAAACGTCCTGGGAGTTTTCCGATGAAAGGAAACCCAAGGTAAATACTCGTGTGAGTTGAAAATGCCTACACTGGGCTCCACAAACGGCCACACACCTGGTCGCTGACACATGGAGCCTTGTTCCTCCTGTTCCAGAAGCTGGAGTCAGCGGGCTGGTTCTCCCAAGGCTGTGAGGGCGAAGCTGTCCAGGCCCGGTGCCCAGCTCCCCAGCTTCGCCCTGAGTCCGGGTCCCGTCTCCGTCTTTCTCCTGGAAGAACTCACTGCGGTTAGGGCCTCCGAGTGCAGGGATCTCATCACCCAACTCCGTAAACGAGGTCACGTGCAGGCAGTCCAGGGACTAGGACTTGGACACACCTTTTTGGGGCCACACACTCCATTTGTGGTTGGGACCCCAGGCGGATCCCTCAGTGCCTCCAGGGGCTTACGAAAGGCTCGGCCATCATCCGGAGCTTGGTCATCTGCCCGTGCCTTCCAGCAGCTGGCTGTCCCCTCCATTCCTCACTCCAGTCCGGGCACAGGAGGAGCTGGTCCTGGGAGCCAGGCAGGCCCTGGCTTTCCCCCAGCAGCTGACTCCCCCACTCCTCTCTCACTTGAGGGGAGCTGGCCAGCAGGCAGGGGGTGGGGACTGAGAAAAGGCAGTGGTCTTGCCACTGCTGCCAGGGGGGCCGCTGGGCCCACTTTAGTGAGGGCAGAGCAGGCTGGTATGTGGGTCCTGGCCTGGGCGTGGGGCTGTGGTCCCTGTGGGGAGAGTGTCCTCGGCAGCAGCTCCTGGAACACTCAGGTCCCAGCATGGTCAAGGGCAGCCGCAGGCTGTGAGCTCCAATCCAGGTCGCTAGGCAGAGGCTGTTGGGGGTGGAGGTCTGGGCCGTCCTCCCTGCAGTCCCGTGGCCCTCATCACAGCGCTGCGGCTGCCCCTGCCTGCTCTTGGAGACTTCTCCCTGGTGCCCACGCGCTGCCAGCCCAGAGGAGGCCGTACTGGCTCGGGGCTGCCCACTCTGCTGACTCACTTTTCCAAGAGCCAGTGCAGTCATCCCTCCGGGCAGGAGGGGTGTCTGCTTCCCTTGGCCGCAGAAACTGCCCCCCAACCTCCCCACAGTGAGGCTCGCGAGGCGGCGGAAAGTGGGTCACTGTTAGCTGTGCTCGTGGCCCCGGGGAGCTGGCCACACGGCCCCAGAGGGGAGCTGTCAGCGGTGCTGCAGGACAGGGAGTCTCTGACCCAGGACTCAGTGGCCTCAGAGTGGTCCCGTGAGCTTAGTGGCAGGACCTGGGAGGCCGCCCTGCTGCTTCTTGGCTCTGAGCTGGGACTCTGGCACATCCTGTCCCCCATAAGTCTCGGGGTGCTGCCCTCTGGTCACCCGCGCCCAAGGACCAGCTGACACGCAGCCCGGTGCCTAGTGGCCTGTGGTGCTGAAGTGCGTGGCCCAAGGGAGGCCAGGGCTTGTCTGTGACGGGGAGAGCAGGACCCACTGGAGGAGGGGCAGGGCTGTGGCTGGAGGGGGGGGGGAGGGATTGGGGGAGGGCTGTGGCGGGGCCAGCCAGGGGGTGATGGGACCTCTTCTAGGCTGTCCTGGGGACGTGTGGGGGAGAAAAGAAGGGGGAGATGAGAGGCAGGCTTGTGGAGCTGAGTGAGAAACAGGGCGGCCCAGGTCTGCCCTGTGCTCCTGCAGGCCTGACTCCAGGGCCAGCCCTCTCCTCCAGCGGGTCCCACGCCCACAGCGGGCGCGCAGGGAGCCGTGGTCTGGAGTCCAGGGATGTGAATGGGAAAGGGCTCTGCCGGCTGTGGGGGAGCCTCGGCACCCGGGGTCACCTCACAGGACGCTGCCAGCAGGGCCGGGCGGCTCCCAGGTGCCGTGCAGAGGCCCCGGGTTGTGTCTCAGGGTCACAGGGCTGGTGGGTGTGGGTTTCCATTGGTGAGGACCTTCCAGGCCGTGTAGCAGCCGGAGACCTGCAGGGGGAGGTCCCAGGCCGCCCCGGACAGGACCAGGTCAGCTTCAGGGAGGAGACACCAGAAGCTAAAAGCCCTGAGGAGTGGAGGCGGGAGGGGAAGGGGGTCAGGCCGCTCTCCACACGGCTATTAGCCTCCGGGGTACGAAGCCCTCGCCGGACAGACTCACCTCCAGCCACAGAACCTCCTCCCGCGCCTGTTAAGGGGCAGCTGAGAGGAGCCGGGGGGGCCGGGATCGCGGGCCATCTATGAGGAGCTGGCCCAGGCAGTGGGCTGGGAAATTCTGCCCTTTAGGGGCAGTAACCGTAGGAACCGCACCCCTGTCTTCCTCACCAGGGAGCGGCCAGCACTCGGAAAACCCCTCTTCCGAGCACACCAGCCGCGCGGACTGCCGCGGCGCCTCCCGCAGTGTGACACGGCGTGCTTTCCTCTCCCCCTGTGAGCCTGTGTTTGCTATAAAGGCAATAATTAGAGATAAAACACCAATTGGATAATGAGCCTGAGCACTTGGAGGGCTGGGTGATTAGGGCGGCTGTGGCTTCCCCAGCAGGAGCCGCCTGAGCTGCAGCGACTCTGGAGGCTCCTGCGGAGACGCCCCCCGCCGGTCCCCAGGGTCGGGCAGGACTGCTAGGACCCCCCCACCCCCACCCCGAGACTCAGCTGTGGGCGACCAGGACTTCCAAGGCTGATCGTCCACCACGGAGGGGCCCCTCTAGGCTGGACTTTGAGGGATGTATAGGAGTCTGCAGGACAGGGAGGCAGCAGGTGAATGAAAATGAAATCAGGAGGAAGCCAGGACAGCCCCCAGCCATGTGTCCTGCCGCCTGTGCCCCTGCCCACGAGCAGCTCTGAGGGTGCCCACAGCGTGGGGCTCATCCAGGGCACCTCACTCACTGTGCCCTCTGTCCTTGCCACCTTTCTGGACACCAGCTGGTGACACAGCCACCGCATCTCCCTGTCTGTGAAACGGGTGCGGGTGTGTTCCGCTCTGCAGACAGCTGTTGTCTTCGGCGGCTGCACCGTCTAGCTTCCTGCTTCCGGAGGGTCCCTGGCCCTGCTCTGTTGCCCTGTCAATGTGAGGCCCCAAGCTTTCTCTCTGGAAGCAGGAAACCCCCCACTCGTCTGTGACGCCTGCTTCTAGGGACCCCGAGGAGTGGGAGTGCGCTGGTGCGCATGTGCCTCCTGCACAGGCCGGGCGCGAACCAGCGTCCTCCGGTCCTGCTCTGTCCACCTCGGTGGTGTCACAATGTCCACGTCCGTCCAGGAGCTGCTGACCGGCCGTAACTAACGTGCACTGTCGGGGGACATGCCGTTGTTCACATTCTGCTCCATGGACAGCCCTGCAGAGCTGGCCCACGGCCATGCCGCCTGTTGCACGCCCCCGCCTCTGCCCCGCGGAGTCTCTCAGGAGCCCACCTCGCCTGGCATCCGCCCTGGGCACTGAGGACTCTCTCAGGGTAGTTGGTGGCCTTTGCTTCCTGTCACCGCTGTTCCCTGGCCCCTCCCTGCTGCCCTTCCCGGCTCAGCGAGCGACCCTGCAGGCATCGGAGCCTCAGGGCCCCACCTCCGGGCCTCGGGGGCACAGCCTCATCTCTTGGCCACAGCAAGGCAGCGGCAGCTGGAGGAGGCCTCCCTGCCGGAGGCTGGGAGAAGGCGTGGGTGCGGGACATACCGCAAAGGGCTCCCGAATTGGTAACAAACTGCCCCCTCCCAGTGTGAAAAGGGGCGGAGACAAACCCGAGCATCCGGGACCTGAGGGGTCTGGGTGAGATGACAGGGAGGAGGGGCCTGAAGTGAATGACAGTGTGGTGTCCCTCAGCATCCACAGCGGGCAGTCCTGACGTGGTCTGCATCCCTTAACACAGCCTCCGTCCCGTCAGGCTGTGATGCCGGGGCTAACAGGCCCCCCAAATCAGGAAGGGGAGTGCGGGGTGTCTGGGGCCCGAGGCCACAGAGCAGTCTGGCAGGGGGCAGCTGGCAGGGGGCTGGGTGCTGCTGGGAGGAGTTGGAGAGGCAGGCACCCCGCTCTGCCCACATGACAAGGGGGCCAGGGTCCTTGAAGTGTGGCCAGGAGAGCAGTCACCGGAGTTCCCCCCAGTGGGGGCTCCGGGGCAGACGGTGCGAGGCAGGCTGAGGTGTGCTGCCCTGCATGGCCGTGGGCCTGGCCTGCTGCCTCGGTGCCTCTGTCCAGGCTGAGGAGGTGGCAGGGGCTGAGTGTGCTGGGGGGCGGGCCCTCCTGGGCCTTAGGGCACCCAAGCTCCCCTGCTGGGGGCATCTAGGCAGCTGAAGGCCTGGGGGCAGGGCTCAGCGTCACCCACATGGGAGTGGGGTGTGACCAGGGAGTGTGGGAGGGCAGACAGTGGCCACAGGAGTCCAGCTCGAGGCACACTGAAGGGCCAGGGTCGGGCAGAGGCCAGACTTGGAGTGAGGGGCTGTGAGTGACATCCCTCCTGGCCAAGCCCTCCGCCCGGACCACTCCGGGGTTAGGCACGGCTGGGGGTCCTCCAGGCGCTGGGCGGGTCTGACAGGCCTCTCCCCCCACAGGCCTTGTGAAGCTGGGGATTCACTGTGTCACGTGCCAGAAGGTGGCCATCAAAATCGTCAACCGGGAGAAGCTCAGCGAGTCCGTGCTGATGAAGGTGAGCCGAGGGGGCAGGCGGGGCGGGGGGCGGGGGGGGGGGGCTGGCCCCGCCATCAGTGCCCCAGGCCGGCCAGGGCCCCTCTGCGGGGGAGTGAGCCTGCGTGACGACCGCACTCTGCGTAGGTGGTGCGGGCCGGGGACATCAGCCGGGGCCCCTCTGGCTGCTGAGGGTAGAGAGGGACTTGGGTGGGTTTGCCTGGGGAACCCCGAGGACCCGAGGTGGGTGATTTTCAGGGGAAGTGGCAGCTGCTTGGATGGATGGGGCAGTGCGGGGGGGCAGGTGGACGCTGACCCTGCCTTGGGTAGCACTTGGCTGAGGTCCTGGACTCCGGCTGGGACTCTGAGATGTCCAAGGGGAGAGACAGCAGCTGGGGGAAGGAATGGGGCTACAACGGGGGCCCATCGCCCTGAAGGCTGGCAGGGACCACATGCAGCTGGGCAAGGGGCCCGAGGCGGCCCTGACCCCGGGAGGCTGTGTGTGACGCTGGGTAGGCCGGGCCACCTCACAGCGGGGAGGTCCTGGGCTAGCCTGGCCCTGCCCCAAAGCCCCAGCTGCACCCAAGAGCCCTCAGCCGTGCCCCGAGGGGCTGGGGACACCTCCCCTCTGCTCCCAGCAGCCGAGGCTCCTGGGGAGCGTGAGGCCAGGGCCCACGCCCCACAGGCCCTCCCCCCCCCCCACAGGCAGGCACGTTTGGGCGTTGGATGGACGCAGGGCCTCCAGGGGTGGAGCCCGCGTGATGCTCTCCCCCTCCGCAGGTGGAGCGGGAGATCGCCATCCTGAAGCTCATCGAACACCCGCACGTCCTCAAGCTGCACGATGTTTATGAAAACAAAAAATATTTGTAGGTATTGCTGGGTCTGGAGAGTTGGGGTGGCCAGAGTGAAGGCCGAGGGCCCAAGGGCGGGTAGACGGGCAGTGGGGCCCGGCAGGGCGGCCTCAGGAACATCACTGCTCCTTGACCAAACACTGGGACTCACAGAGCCACCACCTGAGCCACCGTGGGGGACAGGGCTTCCTGGAGGCATGGCTGGAGGGGGGGAGGGGGGTCAAGGGGCAGGGCCATCTGGGTCTCATAATGGCAGGAACGGCCCAGCTCGTGCTCAGCAGGATGGATGCGGAGCTGCCCCATGGGGGCGCCTTAAGGAGCAGGGACGCTCCCACATGCCTTAGGGGGGCTGGTGGTGGTGTTGGGGCCCGTCACCGGTGAGCCGCAGGAACCGTGACAAGGGCACCCACCGGGGACACCCCCACTGGCTTGAGGGCACTTGTCTTGCAGCATCTTGGTGACGTCCCATGAGTTTGGGGGGCAGGCAGGAGCGGGGGCAGACCTGGTCCACCTCTCTGCACAACGTGCAGGACTCCGGTCACCTCCCTGTTTCTGGGGAGGTGCTTCTGAGGACGGACACGCGAGGGCGAGGGGCAGAGCGCCCGGCTGAGGAGGCCGCCTGGGGGAGGGGCAGGAAGCAGGGAAGGGCCTAGGAGGACAGCCCGAGGAGGGGATACAGCTAGGGCAGAGGCTGGTGACGGGAGCAGGATGCCTATGACGAAGGTGGACAGTGGGCAGTCCAGGTCCTGCGGGGCCAGCCCCCTCGCAGTGGGTCAGAAGTCCCAGGACAGCACAGGGAGCCTGGAGGCGCAGTAGCAAGTGGGCTCACGTGCGGGGCACCTCCAGCCTGTGCTGTGCTTTGGCTTTCCCGTTCCCACCTGGGTGCCACCCAGTGCCCCCTGGCGTGCCTCCAGCCCCTCCCCCTGACAGACTCCTTATGCCCTGAGGGTGCCCCTCACACACTGACTCTTTGAATCCTGCAAGACCAGCTCTGCAGACAGCTGGTCCCCGTGGCCCACACACTTCTCTGCCCCTGCTCCGTCCTCTCCTCCGTCCCTCTCCCTCCCACACGCCACTGCTGCCCACTAGCAAGTCCTAGGGGAGTCTGCACAGCCCAGTCCAAGCTCCTCTGAGGCCCCACAGGCTTCAGCGCCCACGAGTCCCAGGATCCCCAGCCCCGAAACCAGCCCCACAGGCTCCACCAGGGGCTCGTCCAGAGGCTTCTCCTTCGTCACCTTCCGAGGGCTGGGGTCTCCCCGCCACCACCCCAATGTCTTTCCGCCCTCTGCCTCCTGACCCTTCTCGTCCCCCACCCCCTTTCCCACCTGCTGGCCGCGGCTCCCTGAGGGTCCGTGTCTGATTTGCCCCCTGCTGGGGGGGGGGCCCTAACCTGGGCTGGGCAGGGCCTGGGAGGGCCACTCCCCGGCTCCTTGAGGGTCGTCAGCAGCCATAGTGCCCCACTAACCCTGGGCCCAATGCTCCCGCAGCGGGGGGCCCCTGGAGGCGGGCTTGCCCGGCGTGGGGGAGGTGGGGAGGGGGTCCTCATCCCGAAGTGGGCCAGCAGCGTGAGCACCCACCTGAAGCCCACCCGTCCCCGCAGATACCTGGTGCTAGAACATGTGTCTGGTGGGGAGCTCTTTGACTACCTGGTCAAAAAGGGGAGGCTGACCCCCAAAGAGGCCCGCAAGTTTTTCCGGCAGATCATCTCAGCGCTGGATTTCTGCCACAGCCACTCGATCTGGTGCGAGCCGCCCCCACGTGACCCTCCCCTAGGGGTCCCGCCCCTGCTGACGCCCCTCTGTTGCCCCAGAGCAGGGGTGCGGGGAGCCGGGAGGGAGAGGGACTCCCGCTCAGGAGCGAAGGGAGCACGCGGTGCGACCTGAGACCCAGGCCCTCCGTCCCAGACCTGCAGCCGGCCGCTTCCGATTGGCTGCCTGTGACATCACCGGGCCGTGCTGCCATTGGCCGGGCGCCGTGTGGGTGGAGCTTGGGGGAGGGACCCAGGTCAGCCTCCGCCGCCTCCCTTCCAGCCACAGGGATCTGAAACCAGAAAATCTCCTTTTGGACGAGAAGAACAACATCCGGATCGCGGACTTCGGCATGGCGTCCCTGCAGGTGGGGGACAGCCTCCTGGAGACCAGCTGCGGGTGAGTGGGCGCCCCCGGCCACCCGCCATCCGGGCACCCGCGCCCTCTCCCGGCCACCGCCAGTGCTGCAAGGCCGGCGGGCGGCTCAGTGCTGCGGCCCCATGGAGGCCGGAGTGAGTGGTCTCCGAGGCCCCAAGCCCCCGTCCAGCACCTCACAGCCGGGGCTGCAGGCAGGACCCGGGCTCTGCTCCTGGCGGTGGCTCGAGGTGCGGCGGGCCCTGGAAGGCCGGCGGGCTGGCCCCCGCGGCGAGCAAGCTGGTGCGCCAGCCTCCAGCTCTGCGCTCGCAGCGGCGGTGCAGGGTTGGGACCCCAGTCCGTGGCGGTCCTTCCTCTGATGCCTGCCTTCGTGGACCAGACTCCTAGGCGGGGCTCCCCCCTGAGTAAGGGGCGGGGCGGCAGCAAAGCCCGTTAGGCTCCTGGTGGGGCCTCCTCTGGGCGGTGTGTGCTGGGGCGTCGGCACCTCTCAGCGCCCACCTGCTGTGGCCGCGGGGCAGCCCGGAGGTCATGGCGGGGCGGACAGCGGGCCCCGCCTGCGCCCTGACTGCTGCTTTTGCCTTCAGGTCCCCCCACTATGCCTGCCCCGAGGTGATCCGGGTAAGTAGTCACCCCCCGCCCCAGGGACCTCACCCCGCCCTCGCGGACCCCGGACCCTCCACCTGGGCCCCTCTCTCTCCACGGAGCCAACCACAGCGCCCCCCGCAGGGAGAAAAGTACGACGGGCGCAAGGCGGACGTGTGGAGCTGCGGGGTGATCCTGTTCGCGCTGCTGGTGGTGAGCCCGCCGCGCCCGCACCCTGCTCCGCCCTCCCGTCCGCCTCTCCCCGCCCGCCCCTCACCCGTCCGTCTCTGTGCCGCCTCTGCCGCCCCTCCGCCCAGTCCCCCGCCCCGCGGTGACCCCGTCCCCGGCCGGCAGGGGGCGCTGCCCTTCGACGACGACAACCTGCGGCAGCTGCTGGAGAAGGTGAAGCGGGGAGTGTTCCACATGCCACACTTCATCCCGCCCGACTGCCAGAGCCTGCTGCGCGGCATGATCGAGGTGGACGCGGCGCGGCGCCTGACGGTGCGTGCGGGCGCAGGGCGGGTCAGAGGGTGCGGGCCTACACTCCCAGCCCAGGCTCAGGGCCCCAGGGGCGGAGGTTCCATCTCCATGCCACCGCCCTGGGAAGGAAGACCTGTGCCTGCGAGTGCAGGGAGCCCGGGATGTGCGTGAAAGCACAGCTTTGTGTGTGCATGTGTGTGTGTACACAGTTATGAATGTGCATGTGTGAGAGTGCATGCAGTTGTTTGCACGTTTCGTAAGTGTGAGTGCCTCTGTGCAGCACAGCAGTGTGCACATACATGTGTACACAGGTATATGCACTCATGCACATGAGAACCGTTCATAGGTGTGTGTGCCCTTGCATGAGTGTCTGCATAACTATTTAACAGGTGTGTGCACATGCACAGGTAGTGGTCACATGTGTAAGCATGTGCCCAGGTGTGGACGTGTGCATGGACATGTGGGTATGTGCACAGGGGCCTCCTGCAGGCTGTATCCAGCAGGTGTGCCTGGGAGACCAGCATTCACCAACTCCAGCACTGCCCCTCAGCCTCCAGGCCAGCCTGGCAGTGGGCTCAGCTCACCATGACACTGACCATGGGGGGGGTGATGTTCTGAGGAAGAAGCCCGTAGGCAGCCAGGGCTTAGCTGGTACCAGGATGTTAGGTCCCCAGGGCAAGGGCAGCAGGACTCCCCTGGACTGGTCTTTCCTGGGACAGGGGTGGCCTGGTGACCAAGAGGCCATCTCCCAACCGCCCCGATCCAGCTGTCCCAGCTGGTAGAGAGGCTCTTGGAGAGCGGGCCTCTGAGCCCCCTGCTCTCCCCTGCACCCCAGCCCCTGCCCGCACGTGGGCCACCCTGGCTGCCTTCTGCTCTCCTCCCTCAGGCCTCCTCCTCTGAGCCACCAGGGGTCCCCTGCTCCTCCCCATCCCTGCAGCCCCCACCATCCCCACCCTCCTTTCCCTAGACTGGCATTTCCTCTCCCACTGGGGAGGCAGGTCAGGGGGCTAGTCTGGAGCCTCTGGGAACGCAGCCCCTCCCCATTTCCCTCCATCCCCACCCTCTCCCCTCTCCCCCCCCACCTTCCCTCCACGTCCTCACCCTGCCATCCCTTCATCCTTCCCCCTCCTTCTCCCTCCCCTCTTCCTGCTGGCTATCTTCCTCCACGGTGGTCCTCCCCCGCCCCCCAGGTGCTCCCAGCTCCTGCTCCCTCTGGCCTCCTAACGTGGGCTCCCTGCTCCCTCCATACTAACTTCCTGTTTCTCTCTCTTGTAGCTAGAGCACATTCAGAAACACATATGGTATATGTAAGTAGCTTTTCCTCCCACTCATCGCCTGCTTTGCCTGTCGCTGCAGCCGGAGGGCCTGCTAGGGAAGGCGGGGGGGGAGGACCCAGCCCAGCGCAGGCCTGCCCCAGCCTCAGCCCAGCGCTCAGGGACTCCCGGCATGCCTGCGCTGGGCACAGCGGCGAGCAGGAGGTGTGCAGGGGCTGGGACAGGGAGAGAGCAGGACTCAGGGTCCCCAGGAAGGGCTGGGGGGGAAGGAGCCTTAGGCCTGCCGAGATCAGTGACCCCTGGCGGTGCCCTGTCGTCCACAGAGGGGGCAAGAACGAGCCTGAGCCAGAGCAGCCCATCCCCCGAAAGGTGCAGATCCGCTCGCTGCCCAGCCTGGAGGACATTGACCCCGACGTGCTGGACAGCATGCACTCGCTGGGCTGCTTCCGAGACCGCAACAAGCTGCTGCAGGACCTGCTGTCGGAGGAGTACGTCCCACGCGGGGCCCTGCAGGCAGCAGTGGGGATGGTGGGCGTGCGAGGGAATGCTGTGGCCCCAGGGCTACTGTCCAGCAGCGGACACCGTGTTTGCTGACCCTTCTCGGCTCCCCCTGGCCCCCCAACAGGGAGAACCAGGAGAAGATGATCTATTTCCTCCTCCTGGACCGGAAAGAAAGGTACCCCAGCCACGAGGATGAGGACCTGCCCCCCAGGAACGAAATAGGTACAAGGTCCCAGGGCAGCCTGGCCCCACACCAGCCCTGCCAGATGCCGTAGGCCGCCTGGCCTGACCCCTGTCTGCACACAGACCCTCCCCGGAAGCGCGTGGACTCCCCAATGCTGAACCGGCACGGCAAGCGGCGGCCGGAACGCAAGTCCATGGAGGTGCTCAGCGTGACGGACGGCGGCTCTCCGGTGCCTGCTCGGCGCGCCATCGAGATGGCCCAGCACAGCCAGAGGTACGTGCCTTCGGAGGGGGCCCAGTGCCCTACCTGCTTGTGCCCTGGCCTGGTCAGTGAAGGCACCCCTCCTGAGCTGTGCTGGCCTCACTCTGCGCCCTGGCCCTGGGGCTGGGCCGGCTGCACTGGCTGCACGGGCTGAGCTGGGCAGGGCTTTGCTTTGTTGGCCTGGGCTGTTAGGCCATCCTGGGCTAGACTGGACTGGGCTGAGCTGGATTGGGCTGAACTGAGGTGGAATAGACTGGATCGTGGTCCAGCTTTGTTCAGGGCCAGCAGCCTAGCAGGCCTGTCCCCTCTTAACCGCTGGTCCCGTGTTGGGTTCCCTATGGCTGTGCAAGGGCATGGAAATGGAATTCAGGGGGAAGGTGGGCAGATTAGACTGTCCCAGCAGATCCCCTGGAGGGAGCAGCCGTCAGGCCCACAGCCACAGCTGTGCGTCCCTTGGCCAGCCCTCACCTGGCGCTGTTAGGCTGAAGTTGAATGTTCTTGCTCAGAAGTGGGCTTCAGCTGCCTGCCCTTACCCCTGGGGAGCAGCGAGAGTACCCAAACAGCCCCAGCTCTCTCTGGTCAGCTGGGTGCTCAAGCTGGCCAAGCCTCCAAGGAATTTACCATCAAACGGGAACCACAGGGCAGCCGGGCCACCATCACGATTCAACTGGGCTGATGGCCCACAGCCCCCTAGTGGTCCTGGGTCCTGCCCAGGAGATCAGGCTGGCTCAGCCTCTGGCCTAGGGTCCCGGCCCTCTGGAGCCTCTATCCAGGTCTCCAGACAGCTGTGGCCCACCGCCCACAGACTCTGGCACCGGGGTGGGGCAAGTGCTGGCCACACTTCTGCCCAGTGCCACTCCTGCCCTGATTGTTGTGGGCACACCTCTGCCCAGCCCAGCTCCCCAAGCTCGGCCCTTGGCTTCTGGCTGGAACCCCGCGGGACTGGCTGAGTGCTGACCTGGCCCTCCCTGCCCCAGCCTCCCCACACCCACCCACCCCACCTGCCTGGGCCTGGGCTAGGGGTTAGGCGTGGGAGGCCACCCCGCCGTGGCTTCTACTCTGCTTCCCAGGCCTGGCTGCCACGGGTGCTGGGTGCTGGGTGCTAGGGTGGGGTTGGTGTGACCCAGCCTGAGGGTCACCTGAAAGCCCCTTCCTCCCAGCACTTCCCAGCCCAGCCCCTGGGCTGCCTCCTCTGGCCATAGGGTGCTGAGTGACAGCGGGCCTCCTGCTGGGGCTGATGCTGAGTACCCTGCAGGCTACCAGGGGGTGCTGTGCCCTGGAGCTCTCCGCTTGTGCCCCTGGCGACTGTGTGCCCTGCGCACAGCTAGGAGCTGTGTGGCCTGGCCTCCAGGCCGTCTGGCGGCGCTGTGGCAGTAACTCTGTTTTCTCGCTTTGTTCCCGCTGTAGTAAAGCAATGTTCAGTAAAAGCCTGGATATCGCTGAAGCCCACCCCCAATTCAGCAAAGACGACAGGTATACACCCTGCCCACCCGCCCCGCCCCCAGCCCCCCAGGCGACTCGGGCCTGGCGGCAGGGCTGGGCCTGAGGCTCTGGCCTGCTCCCCTTTGGCAAGGGAACCTTCCAGAAGCCGGGGGAAAGGCTGGGTCAGGCCAGGCTGAGGCCCAGGAGGAGTGGGCTACTGGGCAAGGCCAACGGCCAGCCCAAGAGGGGCTGGGAGACCCACTGTGCTCTCCCTGCCCTGGGCCCGAGGGGTCGCAGGTGTGAGGCCCCATCTGGCCCACCTTGATGTGGCCGGTGGTGGTCCTGGTTAACCGCCCCTTGGCCAGTGCTGTCCCCTGGGGCCACCATGCTGCCCACTAGGGCCTGAGGGGAAGTGGCAGCCAGAGGCGGCTCGGCCATTCTGAGCCCATTGCAGCCTCCCAAGTTGGTGGCAGGAGGTGTGCTGGTCACACCTGGCCTCTGTGAGCCCCCTCCCCTGCTCCTGCAGGGCCCACTGCCTGAGGGCAGCATGGCTGGCCTGCCCTGTGGCCCCCCCTGGTCACGCTGCCCCTGCTTTTCGGGAGCAGGCTTTGCCCTGTGTAGGCAGCCATGGCTGGGCAGGAGGGCGTGTGGATGGCTCCCACCCCTTCCTCCCCTTGCTGCTCTCAGCTCCCTTGTACCAAGCGACAAGCTTGCACTAGCTCAGTGGAAGGCCCCAGGCACTGGGCCTCAGTGTGGCTGCTGGGGGGCACCAACTGGGACTCGGCATCGGAAAGCTTTGGCTGGGGGACTGGAGCTCCCAGCTCCGTGCCTGGGTCAGGTGGGGGAGGACGGTCATGGCCATGGGCCCCAGCTCACAGGTGCTGGTGGAGTGGCCAGGAGCCAAGGTCTGGCCAGCATGGGCTCCATTCCACCCCCCAGGCCCAGGGGCCAGGCCAAGGTGTGGCAGGCGAGACCCCTCCAGGCCATGCTGGCCAGGTGGGCAGGCGGCAGGGTAGCCACCGTTCCCTGTCCGCTCCTAGGGCTGCATCAGCCCCGTCCCATTCCTTTCCCTGAAGGCCGCAGGTGTGGTAAGTCCCTGCAGGCCGTGTCTGCCCCAAGTGCGCACAGCTGTGTGCCTGTACCGGCTGGGCGCCCTGGGATACCGTCTCTCCAGCCAGGCCCAGGCTAGGCCTGCAGGCCCGTGTGGCCTGTGGTGGAAAAGATCAGTGTCCTCCCAGCCTCGTCTTGCCCAGGCCCTGGGCGTGCAAGTGAGGAGAGGGCCAAGGGCTGGCCTGCTGTGGGCAGCTCTGGACCGGCAGGTGGGTCGTGGGTACCAAGGGGCTGGCTAATGCCCAGCTGTTGGCCCTGGGCAGCACAGCCTTGGGGGTCCGGTGATTCCTGGCAACTGGAGTGTGGAGAGGGGCCTGGCACAGGCTGGTTCAGTTTCCAGGAATCTGCAACCTTCCTGCTCCCTTTGCCCACCTGAGCCCCCGCGGACACTGGCAGAGGACTCCAAGGCTGCACCATGGGGCTCCGACGGGGTCCCAAAGAGGCTGCAGGATCTCTCCTGAGGACAGGCGGGTGGGGACAGCAGGACCGTCCTGGGCACCCAGGCCGCCTGTGGCCGTCTCGGCTGAGCCCCGCTCTGCACCTGTGTCCGCAGGTCCCGGTCCATCAGCGGCGCCTCCTCAGGCCTCTCCACCAGCCCACTCAGCAGCCCCCGGGTGAGTGACGCCCCTCCGCTCAGGCTCCCTCCCCGAAGGCGCGGGAGGGCCGGGCATTCCCGCCGCTGGGGACCACGCGTGGTGCTGCTGTTCGGCGGCTCTGGCTGCTCTTGCTAACTGCACGTTTTTTTGTTTTGTTTTGTGTGTTTTCTTGTGTGTTACTTGTTTTCTTTGGTGGCAAATGCTCTGCCCCCACATGCCTGCACCCGTGGGTCTTCCTGGGGCTGTGTGTGCATGTGGGTGGGGGCACGGATGCATGTTGACTCCTGCATGGCGGACCCGCACTCCACTCCCTGCCTCGGTGCCTGCCCTGTAGCCCGTTAGGAAATTTGTCCTGCCCCCCCCTCCCCCTGAACTCCCCTTCGTGGCCTGCACCCTGGCCACCTCCATGGAACCTGAAGTCTGTCAGAGCACCTCTCGGCCCGGACACATCCTCCCTCCACAGGCCGCCCCGCGGCCCAACCCCAAGACCCAGACCTTGCCAAGCAAGGCCAAGCTGACCGACAAGCCTCTGCAAGGCACCAAGTCCAACCCGTTCCCAGCCAGCACCCAGGCCCGGCACCCTGTCCCCAGCGGCCTTGGCCCCCAGCTGGCCCCGCCCCTGGGGCTGGCCCCTCTGCCTGCCCCCGCCCGGCTTCCGCTCACTGGGACTGAACCGAACACTAAATCTGTCCCCACCATACAGGTGACCCCTCACCCCTCTCCAAGGGGCAGTCCCCTCCCTACCCCCAAGGGGACGCCGGTGCACACGCCCAAGGAAAGCCCGGCCGGCACACCCAACCCCACACCGCCGTCCAGCCCCAGCGTCGGAGGGGTGCCCTGGAGGACAAGGCTCAACTCCATCAAGAACAGCTTCCTAGGCTCACCTCGCTTCCACCGCCGGAAACTGCAGGGTGAGCTCAATGATGGCAGGCACAGGTGGTGGGCAGGGCCTGGGGATCACTGCCCATCCTGGCCAGCAAGGCAAGTGGAGCCAGGCCGGGGTCACCCTGGATCATGCCTGGGTCTGCTAGACTGACACAGGCCTAGGCATCACAGATTTCCACTATTTACCAGCCTGCTCAACCTGTGCCCGGGCCCACACAGTATAGACTTGGCACCCAGTGGGCACAGCCTTGGGAACCCTCATGGAACCCTTGCTTCTCTTTAGCCCAGTGGCCTCCTCAGTACGGGCTGCTGGAGGCCCAGGGAGGAGAGGCGGCCACTGGGTGGGTGTGGACATGATGGTCAGGAAGCCCACAGGATAATGGAGGTAAGCCTGCGCCTGTGTGCTGGCTGCCGAGGGTTGGTTGGCACTGCCTGGCTAACTGGGCTCACAGCCAAGGGGTGAGGCGTGGGGCCCTGTGCACACACCCAAGGAGAGCCCAGCCAGCACACCCAACACCTGGAGGGACAGCAGGACTGGCTGAAGGCCAGAGCAGGCCTAGCTTGGTTTCAGCTCCCAATGGCCCAAGGCTCCCAAGACCCCCATCAGGAAGGTGCCCATAAACAGTATGAGGGGGCCTGTGGGAAGGCATAGTGGTCACCGCACCTTCTCTCTCTGTCCTTCCTGTGTACACAGTCCCGACGCCAGAGGAGATGTCCAATCTGACCCCGGAGTCCTCCCCAGAGTAAGTGGCCCTGCGTGAGTAGGTGGGTGCTGAGTGCCAAGAGCACCAGGGAGCCCCGGGTACCCTCCCACATAACAGGTCACAGAATCCACAAGGGCTTCTGGCTGAGCATCCCAGCCCACAGGTCCTTCTCCCTGTGGCCCCTGCTGCCGCTGGTCCTCTCCTCCACCTCCTGCCTCAGCCACCTCCTCTCCAGTGTGGGCATCTCGGAGCCTCCTGCACTTTGACCACCAGGCAGGGAGCAGGGCCTAGGATGGTAGGGGAGCCGGTAGGGGACAGTTCAGTTCTGCTTGAGCCACAGCCTGGGAGAAGGGCCTATGCTGGCTGGAGGCAGTGCGGCATAGCCACTCCTCGGAAGGACCACTGCACACTGGCTGAGCCCTGACCTCCACACAAGGGAGCCACAGGGGTCCGGCTTGCTCACACTTCAGACACAGCATCTGCCCTGGATGTGCTGAGCGTGGGGAGGCCTTCAGGAATGGTCTGGGGTGCCTGCTACTGGGGGGTCCACCGGGGTGGGGTGCTGGGCAGAGCAGAGCCCAGAAGGTGGCCAGACGTGTCGGGTTGTAAGGATGGAGGATCTCAAGGTGAAGTCACAGTGCAGGCCAAGGAGGGATAGTCAGCAACAGCCTGCAGGAACACGCGTAGGAGGTGGCCTTGGCCAAGGCCAGGTGCAGAACAACCCTTGGATCATTGTCACACGAGAGAAGATGCAGGAGCTGTTGGAGCAATGGGGAAACAGCCACACACACCCTGCAGGTCTGCGTACGGAGATGCCCCACACTCAGGGTCTCTAGCCAAGGTCCGAGAGACTTGTCTGAGTGCCTGCCCTCCGGGGCCTCAGCTCCCTAGTCCGCGGGTGGTGGTGTGAACAGGAAATGCGGTGTAGACACAGGGCAAGGCACAGGGGCTGCACTGGCAATGAAGGCAGCAGGGCCAGCTGTTTGAGGGAGAGAAGTTGTCATTGTGCATGTCGCAGGTGCGAGCCCTGAGCTGCTGGGTTAGGGGGCTCTGCAGTCCCACTGGTCACATCCCTTCAGTTGCCATTCTCTGCTGCCCTGAACAGCCTTCCCAAACGTACTTGCAGTGTAACTGCTGGATTTTCAGGGAATTTACAAAATCACACACTGTCACGTGCTGTAGCTGATGGCCTGTGCCCCTCCATTCCATTGAGGCCCGTGGGGCCTGTCCCTGCACAAAAGCCTGGTAGGAATGAGCAGGTGCAGATGTCCCTGGAAGTGGGGTGCAGTGAAACCCCCAGCGCCTCCTGCACAAGACATGCTCCTGGTCCAGGACATTCCACCTGCAGCTTCTAGGAGCCCTGCACCGGTCAGGGTCCCCCAGGAAACCAGGAGGTTGCAGGTGGATATGCACATGAATGCTGGCGGGCCTGAGACGGGTCAGCAGGCGGGAGATCGAGCTTGGGTGATGGCCTGCAGGACCTCGCTGGTACCAACTACCACGTTAGTGAGATGTCTTTTAAGAAGCAACACCCAAAGTTGGACCAGACAGGCCAAGTTGACACCTCGACCTACCATTACAGGCCTATCCCCACACACGCTCCACCAGCCTTCCCAGGTCAGCCAGGCTTCTTGTAGATCCGGGACTGTTTTTGCCAGATGCCAAACACTTGGTGTCAAAGTACAAAAAGCCAGTTTTCACTGTAACTCTTCTGCCTTCATCGAGAAGAAGGATGAGCTGTGGGCTCCAGGCCCGGCGTAGACCTGGGTGCCACATTCTGCAGCTCGGGCCAGCAGCCCGCACTCGCTCAACACGACAGACAGCCAAGGAGCTGAGGTGGCTGAATGAGGGCGTGGGGTCCTCAATGTTCTCTCTTCACGTCTTCTCTGGGATTCCTGAGCCGGGCTGACGAGGGAGGACAGGGACTCTGTTGGCAGGTGGGTTGGTCATTGTCACTGCAGCTGAAGAGCGGCTCTGGAAATGGGCAGGAAAAGGAAGACGTCACACAACCAGGAAAACTTGGCCATGCCCAGGCCAGTGTAGGGTGCCTTGGAGTGCCCTACTAATGCCATGGGGAAGCCACGCCTGGCTGCTGCTCCTCATCCCTGGACGGGTAGAGTGTCCATGTGTCTACACTGTAGCTGCAAGGGAGGCAGCGAGAAGGCGGCGGGGGTACGCCAGTCACCTATGGCCGCATGACAAACAAATCCAACACATACACTGTGAACGGTGCGTGCTTGTCCCCTCGGTGGTCAGGACCCGCCACGCGCAGCTGGGTGCGTGGCTTTAGGGGTGACAGGCTGTGGCCCCTCGTGCTGCACAGGTGCAGGAGCTGCTGTGGGCAGGATTCAGGTCTCCACGGGCCTCTCACCAGTTGGTCCGGGAGTCAGACTTTGTGGCCCGGTTTCGGAGATGACTTCCACTTTCCCACATTCTTCTGTCAGAAGCTGGTCGCCGGCCCACCCACACCCTAGGGAGGGCCACACAGAGGCCACTCCATGGGACTGGAGCAGCAGGGAGGGCCACCAGTCCCTGAGGGCAGAGACACAGAGGGTGGCCTGGGGAAGCTGAGGTTGCCCCTCCTCTGCGCCACGTCTCTGCCATTTATAGCAAAGCGAGGTGCCTGGCCTGCCCCAATCCCACCCCAGCTCCCGCGTGCTCCTGCTCCCCTCACAGCCCTCCCTGCGAGGGGCCCATTTTCCTCAAGGAGACTGTGGGATGCCACACAGCAAAATCACCCCAGGGTCATGGTGCCATACCAGACGGACCCGGCTGGGTCAGCATGGGTTCTCCTGGTTGGGTTCCAGTGTGTGCTGCTGGGCCCAGGGCTGTGGGATCAGCCGTAGGGTGTGGAGTCAGGCATGGGTGGAGATATCAGGGTGGAGTGGAGGCGGACGAGGCAGGTGGAGGTTAGGATGGTGATATCAGGGTGATAAGGGGCTCAGGGTCCAGGGTGGGAGGAATCAGAGCTCAGGAGGCAGTCAGGAGGTCAGGAATGTGGGGTCGGGCAGGGCAGACCTGTCCCTGAGGTGTGAGCAGCCCCTCGCTCCACCCCCAGGCTGGCCAAGAAGTCCTGGTTCGGGAACTTCATCAGCCTCGAGAAGGAGGAGCAGATCTTCCTGGTCATCAAGGACAAGCCCCTGAGCTCCATCAAAGCCGACATCGTTCATGCCTTCCTGTCGGTGAGCCTTGTCCCGCCCCAGAGGGCCCATTCACTGGCCAGACAGACACTGTCTCTGCCTGCCCCTGCAGCGCGGGGAAAGAAACCCTGGAGGAGCAGGTGTGGGCCAGGCAGGGGCATGTGTGGCTGGCGGGTGAGCAGGTCCCAGGCGGGCTGTGACAGGGTGGCACTGGGGCAGGGATACACCCCGAGGGCTGAAGCACAGGCAGCCTCAGCAGAGGGACCTCTGCCAGACCCAGGGGATGTGCCCAGGCCTGGGGAACAGTCCCCAGGGGGCTGTTGTCCGGGGTGCCCTCTGCCTGCCCCACAGGCTGCCGGCCTCCTGCAGCCCCTGCCTCCCACTGAGGCCTGCAGTGCCGAGGCAGCCGCACTGGGTCTTCTGTGGGGCCCCTTGTCTTTGCCGGATCACCAGGCTCAGGGAGCAGGAAGCCCTGAGGGTTTTCCAGATTCACGCCAGGGGCCCCACCCGCCTATGTGGGGCCTGCCTTGTGCTGGGTCCCCCAGGCTCACAGCTTAGGGGGATCCCAGGATCGCCAGAGGGGAGGAGGGTTTAGCCACTGCAGCTCCAGCTCAAGCCCCACGACCCGGTGGGCAGGGATTGCCAGGGGTTTCTCTGAGCCCAGCCTCAGCGCCCCTGTCACAGGCTGCCGCCAGGTCCCCTTAGGGCTATGAGGACAGTGGGTGCTCCTCACAGAGGTTCAGGGGCCAGGAGAGCCCAGAACCAGGCAGGGGTCAGCCTCAGGCTGGACACAGGCACTCTGGCCCCTTTGACTCCCCTGTACCCTGCTCTCTTCCTTTGGGCCCACGTCTGGACCTCTGTCCCCCATGACCCCCAAGCCCCTTCTGCTGTTCCTCCTCCCTGGCGCATGGACTCGGCCACTGCCACCGCCCTCTAATGCTTCCCAGGATGGCTGGTCCTTCAGACCTTGGGTGCTGGGGGGACCCTGCTGGGTTTGTTGTGACCAGTTTCCTTTGTTGCCCACGACCCAAATACCCAGAGCGGGTCGACTGGGTGCAGAGCCTCAGGCACCGTTGTCAGCGATGGCCTGGCCTTGGCCTCAGGTGGCTGTTCTCAGTGCCAATAGAGGCTTCAGCCTTGGCCCCCTGTCCTCACTGCCGCTGAGGGCCCCCGCCCACGTGCATGTTTACTCATCGCACCTTAGAAAGCCCTGCCCGAGTGTCCGTCAGTCCTGCTCTGGCTCCCGTGGCCGCACCCTGAGGGCCCTGCTGGTGGTGGCCTCCCCGGGGAGAGGGTGGCCGCACCCATTTCACAAACGACGCTGCAGGGGCTGGCCTGTGGGTCCCCTTTGAGGAGCTCAGGGTGGAGGCCGGGTCGCTGCTCACATCGAACTGCCACTCTGCAGATTCCCAGTCTCAGCCACAGCGTCATCTCCCAGACCAGCTTCCGGGCCGAGTACAAGGCGACCGGGGGCCCGGCCGTGTTCCAGAAGCCCGTCAAGTTCCAGGTGGACATCACCTACAGCGAGGGCGGGGCGGCCCAGAAGGAGAACGGCATCTACTCCGTCACGTTCACGCTCCTGTCAGGTGAGCTGCTGGCCCAGGGCGCGGGCTCCGGCCACCCCGCCCAGGCTCACCCGCTGTCTGTCTCCCCCAGGCCCCAGCCGCCGCTTCAAGAGGGTCGTGGAGACCATTCAGACGCAGCTGCTGAGCACACACGACCAGCCCTCCACCCAGCACTTGTCAGGTGAGGCGGCGCTCAGCTCGGCCGCCCTGTGGGCCATCGAGTGGGCCTGGCCCTCCGCCGCCCCCCAGGGAGCAGGGCCTCCCAGCACAGTGGGCCAGCCCAGTCTGCACACCAGGGAGGCAGGGCCCAGCACACCGCACTGAAAGGCGCCTCTTGTCCACTGTAGAACCCTCCCCGCCAGCGCCAGGACTAAGCTGGGGTGCTGGGCTTAAAGGCCAGAAGGTGGCCACCAGCTACGAGAGTAGCCTCTGACGCTGGCAGGTAAGGTGTCCCGCCCTACCGCTGGGGCAAGGAGGGGGCTGCAGTCACATCCCCTGGCAAGAGCCAGGCTGGCCCTGAGAAGGGCACCCTGTGCCCACTCACATGGCCAGTGGCCAGCTCCCGGCCCCTGACAAGCTGTGCAGGCCCAGAACGCAGGCTGAGTCTCGGGGCACAGGGCAGGCTAGCCCCAGGACCCCCCAGGAGAGCAGACCCCGGGAGAGCGGTGGCCAAGGTCCTGCCTGGATTCCCCGCAGCAGCGCCCTGTGAGGGCTGGGGCCCTGGAGCCCGGATATGGGGTGGGGTTGCTTGCTGTCTGTCCCCCGTGAGAAGACCTGACTATCTGGCCTTGAGCAGGAGAGGGGGCCTCAGGCCCCAGTCAAAGCCAGGGCGCCCCAGCTGGGCCTAGAGAAGCATCCAGGGAAGGGCTCCCAGGCCGAGGGCCATGCCTGTGGGGGCGGGCAGCACCGGAATGGGGTGTGAGCCGTGTGAGTCGCCGTCTGTTGGTGAGGGTGTGCAGTGTGTGTCTGCATGGTGGTGAGATGCGGGGTTGTCGTGAGGATTGTTCTGACATTTGGGACCTGAGGAGCAGAGTGTCCAGCCCTCAGCTGCCTCTCTGACCCCCCTACGGCCAGCTGGGGCCTCAGTGGGCCCTCCCCCGACCTGCTGTGCTTCTGTGTGGAGTCCTAAAGGACAGGCCGGCCCAGCGTCCACCCCACCCTGCCATCCTCATTCCATCGTCTGTTTCTCACTGCCCTCCTCTTCTCCCTCACATGTCCCTCAGCGCCCTGGCCCGAGCCCAGGTGTGGGCCCGCTTTCCTGGCTGTCGGGGTGGGGAGCAGGCACGCCAGGTGCCTCTGGCTCCTGAGCTGTTAAGGACTCAATCTGGAGCAGTGCAGTGCTGACAGGGAAACCGAGGCTGGGGAAGAACGGAGCTTGTCCGGGAAGGGGAGCCAAGACCAGGGCCTGGCATGCTCCTGCCCAGCGGGCATCTGTGCCTGCAGCCATGCCAGAGCAGGGGCCTTGCTGGCCTGGACCAATGAGCTCTCTTCCTGGGGAGCCCAACCTGGTACCTCGGCCACCTGACCCCATCCCCTGGCCTCCCTCCCACACTGGATGCTCTTGTCCAGCAAGCTCAGTCCCAGGGCCACCATGGGACCTTCAACCACCTGACAGGGCCCCCGGCCTGGCCTACAGAGGGGAGGCCCCGAGGGCACATCCCACCTGCAGCGAGGGTTTTGCCAGCACCAACCCTCCCAGGCCCTGCAGCAGGTGGGGGGTCAGGGTAGGGGACTGCAGACCTGCGGGAGGAGGACATGTGGGTGGCCGGCGCAGACCGTGGCCGAAGTCGTGGGCTTCTCAGCTCCACAGCGTGTCCTGGACCCAGGGCAGCACAGCGGGCGAGGCTCTGGCTGCGCAGGACCCTAGACTGCCCAGGCGGCCCTCGCTCTGAGCCCGCCACTCCATACCTACCCCCTTTGGGCTCCACTCCTCAGGCCCCACTCCCTGCCCTGAGCCTGTGCTTTCCCTGAGGGGCCGGCGGGAACCATGTTCACATCCCCCTCTCTCCGTTCTGTGCTCCAGACACCACTAACTGTGTGGAGATGATGACGGGGAGGCTTTCCAAGTGTGGTAAGAACCCCCATCGCCGGGGCCTCCGCCTATCACGCCACCTGCAACCCGCTCCCGGCTAGGTGCTGCGCCCGCCACCGGGGCTGTCCTGGGGTCTGGGTGTAGCTCGGGGTCCAGACACACCCGGGACTCAGGGAGGCCCCCACTCGCCCAGCCTCCTGCCTCTGCCAGGACACCCTGTCCCTCCCCCAAGAGCAGCCACAGCCCTGGCCTAGGATCGGGGCGGGCCAGGGAGGCCCAGGGAGGGCCGCGTGGGCAGGCTCTGGCCAGGGGTGGCGGTGGACTGCGGTCTGGAGCAGGCCCTCCGTCCACTGGAAGGTTGAGGGACCCCTCCTGCTGGGTCACACGACAGTGCCCTCCCACTGCACCTGGCAGGGAAAGGAGGGACCTGGTAGGGCTCAGGTTTAGGAACTGGAGCAAAGGTGCCCATCAGTGCACCTGGCCCGGGAGCACAGGCCCCAGGTCAGGGTGGTCATCTCATCCCTACCCCTTCCTCTTGACCTCAGGACATTCCCACTCTGGCTGCCTGCCCCCCACCCTCCCACATCCAAGCTCTCCATGCCTGTCCATCCACCCTTCCATCTGTCTGTCCGCTGTGTCCACGTTGTGTGGCCTGGGCTGGCCAGGGGAGGAGAATGGCAGGCACGCTGGCTCCAGCCTCCCACCCAGAGCAGACCCTGTGGCCTCCTGCCAAGAGCCAGACGCCCATCCCAGGGTCCTGCCCCTTGGGGATGCGGCAGCCCCGTCTGTGTGGCTGAGTTCAGAGTGGGCTGGCCAGCTGGCAAGGGCCCAGAGCTGACGAGGGGAGACTCTGAGACTGGTGTCTGAGCTCCGTGTCTGGCTGAGGCCAAGGGAGGCGCTGCACCTGCAAGGCCAGGCTGGTGAGGGAGGAGGGTCTCCACCTGCCTTGGGGTCCCGCCCCACAGTTAAGAGGCACAGCTCAGTCCCCAAAGCCTCAGCCCCTCCCGGGAGCCCCTGGCACAGAGGGTATCCCGCCGGTCGGCCGCCTGCCCACCCTGCTTGCTGTCACCTGTCCCCGCCCCCTACGCCCATCTCAGACCTCATCTCGTTGGGTTTTCTTTCTCTCGCCAAGGCCCTTTCGTTCATTTGTTTGTTTGTTCTCTTTCTCTCTCCTTCCCTCCCTTCTTCTTTCTCGCCCCTTTTTTTTTCTTTTTTCTTTTCTTTTGTTTTCTGTTCTGTGTACCCAGGCAGCCCATTGAGTAACTTCTTTGACGTAATTAAACAACTTTTTTCAGACGAGAAGAACGGGCAGGCGGCCCAGGCCCCCAGCACGCCCGCCAAGCGGAGTGCCCACAGTCCACTCGGTGACTCGGCGGCCGCTGGCCCTGGCCCTGGAGGCGATGCCGAGTACCCAACGGGCAAGGACACGGCCAAGACGGGGCCACCCGCCGCCCGCCACGAGCAGCCTTAGACACATAGCCCTCCCCGCCCCAGCACGGCCCCGACAGTGGCCCCCAAGGCTCCCGAGCCACCTGCCCGGCCAGAGTGGACCCGGGGCCACACCCACCTGCCCATCTAGGCTGCTGTGGAGCGGGGGAGGAAAGGATAGGGGCACTGGGGGCCAGGGCCTGTGGCCGGCCCACCGTGCCTGCTCTCTCTCTCTCTCTCGCTGTTTCTCTCTCTGCCTGTCTCTGACAACGTCACTGTTTCCGCTCTGATACCAGGAATTATCCCGAAAAGTTAACATGTCAACATGTCACCTCCACGAGGCCATCCTCTGGGCTCCGCGCCGGACACCGGCCCGCCGAAGGCAGCTGCGTGGACCTGCCTCTCCTCTCCTGCTGCTGCAGCGTGCCCGGCGGCGAGGCCTGCCCACCGCACTGCCTCCGTCCACCGGCCCGCGTGGCACCCTGCCCGGGGTCTGCTCCGCATGGCCACGGGGAGGAGGACCTGGCTCCGAGGGGAAGCTGCCTCCAGCCTGCCCACAGACTTGCAGTGACTAGAGCCCTCGGCAGGTCCTGTCGCCCGGCTGCCTCCAGCACGGGGGCCGTGGTGGGCAAAGCATCCGAGAGGCGGGCAGAGGGCACCTGCAGCCTCTCCTCGGCCTCTTCCCTCTGCAGCACCCTCTCCCCGGCCCGCTGCACCTCGGCACCCAAGCGGCTGCTCGCTGGCTCCCAGTCCTCCCGGCTCGTCGCTGCAGGTGCTCTTGGGCCCGCGTTCCTGTCCTGGCCCGGGGGGACTGGGCCCAGAGGCAGCAGGCTGGCCGAGATCAGTATTATTTATTTGCCGTTTAACTTATTGAGTTTCTTTACTTCTCTGTTCAGGGAAGGGGCAGCAGCAGCATCTTCCTGCCGTCTGTCTGTCTGTCTGTCTGTCTCGGGCAGGGTGGGTCTGGGCCCAGGTGCCCTGAGGACGCAGCCGATGGGGCCCTGGGGGGCAGGCCGGTGGGTGCAGTGCCGGCAAGCTACTGTAAACTTTAAAGAATTCCTGCAAGATATTTTTATAAACTTTTTTTCTTGGTTGTTTTTGGAAAAGGGTGTGGGGGAGGGGAGCCGCTGGGCAGGGCTAGGTTTTGTGTTCGGTTCTTGCTCTTGGTTCTTTCTATATACACACATATATATATTTAAAGAACGGCGCAGGCCACTCTGCCTGCTCTGTCCGTCCTGGTAGAAGCAACTCCAGTCCCGTGGGCGCCACCACCCAGGGACCCTCCACCAGGTCCAGGACGGGGACCCTCTTGGTTCTGTGTCCAGAGCAGGGTAGGAGGAAGCCCTGGGCTGGCCCCCACCCACTCACAGGATGGCAGGGGCACCGCAGAGTTTTTTACTAAAATGACAAAAAGTGAAAAAAAAAAAGTCCACAAAAAACACACACCACATAACCAAGAACAGAGTCAGCGGCGTCCTCTGCAGAGTTTGCTGTGCGGGTGCAGCCGCTCCGTTCGCCCATCCCCAGCTAATGCTTGTGTTTCTTCCTGTGGGTACGGCCAGCTCGGTGGCACAGACCCTGACCGTGGTGCCAAGGGCGCCGGCAGCCGGAGGCTGGGAGGGCAGGTCTGATTGCATGCCTTCGCTGTGATGGGTCCACTTTGCTTCTGGTGTCTCCCCGCAGCCCACCAGCCTGCCCGCCCTCGGTCGAGGATAGATTTTAACGCTTCTGTACCCCGGCCCCACCGCAGGCGGGGCTCCCACATAAGAACTATTAGACGCCCGATAACAGCAGAGCCACAGGTACACGCGGGGGCTTCTCACGAGGCAAAGGACACCGAAAGCAATATCTCTTCGTCAGCCTTCCTCTTTTGTACTCGGGACACACGCAGACGTCACGGAAACAAACAAGCCCACCCATGTACCCCTGTCAATAACTGTGAGCAACCTTAGTTCCGGAACAATAAATTCCTTCCGTAAAGACCGACACCAGTCTCAGTCCGGGTGGGCGGTGGGGGCACGGGCGGCTGGGCTCACCGCTGTGTCCCCCACGGTGCTGCTCAGGGCTCTGCCTCAGCTGAAGAGGACAGACCCTGGGGGGGGGGGGGGGGCCTGCCCCAGTCTGAGCTGGGTAACCTGCTGGGCTGGGTGGGAGGAGAGCCCAGGGGCACAGGGAAGCCTCCCCCAAAGCGGACAAAGACACCACCCCAGACCTCAGGGTGTCACCCAGCACTTGGGCTTCTTCCTGGAGGATCTTTTCAATCCTTTTTTGGGGAAGAAGCCGATGGGGTTCTGTAGCCCAACCCTGGAAGCGAAGGGGGGCGATCCCAGCCACACCCTCCGCGCCCACAGCCAGCCAGCTGTGGATCACATGTCAGCCAGCCACCCCTCTGCTGCCGCACCAGGAAGGCAGGCCCAGCCCCGTCTTGGGGACCCCCTGCACAGCCATGAGGATGGGGAAAGCATCCTGGAAATGGCGTCCAAGCAGAGAGCAGTCACCCTTGGAGGTCCCGGGCAAGCACTGCCCTCTCCGTGGGTGCCGGGCATGGCACAGCCATGGGGCTCTGGCTGGGGGACGGCTCAGCACAGCCATGCCCCCTGGGCCGGGTGTGGCACAGATCTACGGTGGCTCTCTGGTGGGGGCATCCTGAGCCTTGTACCATGTCAGCACTGCCCTGGTCACCACTCCTGGGTGGCAATCAAACCTGTTCCCAGACATTGCCACAGCTGCCCTGGGGGCAGAATCGGCCTTGAGTCCTGCCCTCATCTCCTGCACCCCCTGCTGCAGGGGACAGCCCAAGGGGACGTGCTTCTCTGGTTCAGTGGGGAGCTACTGACAACTGGGCTTGCCTCTGAGCGGGCGGGTGCCCGGAGGTGCTTAGGAGACACAGAGGGCTCCAGGCTGCATGGGAAAGGCTGGACCCCATAGCGTCTTGTTAACTTCAGCTTAGAAGACAGGCTGAAGGAATTTGGTGATTACACTCTCACAGGGCACAGGGTTACCCAACTCTGGGTGCTGGCTGCTGCTTGGAGCAGCCTCCTGATGGCAGTGGATCCCAAGGGGCAAAGCAGAGCCCAGGAGTCTTCATGCAGGGCGGGAAGCATTTGCCCAGGGCTGCCACATGCATGAGTCCAGCAGAACACATGATGGAACCTTCTGGAACGAAGCACTGAAGTCACGCAGAAATAATTCTGACGCCCTTCAGACTGAGTCACCAGGCTGGGGTTGCTTTGAGCACCAGGAGGTGCAGCCACCAGCAACCCGTGCAGCCCTCTGGACAGTGGTGCTGTGGGGGCAGGGCAGGCCCTCGTGGGAGGGGCCAGGCTGTGAAGGCTAGGCACCCGGGAGTCCAAGAGTGCACTTGGATTTTCTGAGAGCCTCAGGGACCAACACCAAGAGCAGAAAGGAGGAGTTGAAAGGTCTGGAACGAGGCGGGGGGGGGGGGGGGGGGGGGGGGGAGTGGTCCTCTACAAAGCCCAATTGACAGACAGGGTTCTTGCCCTTGCAGGGAGGTGTGACAATAGGGCCTCCTGGTGGGTATTATGAGAACAGCACCCTAGTACTGATTTCGGGGTGTCTGAAAAGAAAACCCAATTGAAGAAATTAAAAATGGTTGGCGGATTAAGTACAAGCTATGCAGACATGCTCCCACAACCAAACCAGAATAACAACTATTGTAAAATGCCAAAAAAGAAAAGCATAAATAATCAACTGAAGACTGCCTGAAGAGAACCCTGATAACCAAGGACAGAAAGTAGAGACCACATAGATACTGGTAGGAAGGGCAGAGACACGAAAGCACCACAGACAGCAGCTGACGTTCTGGAGAGCTGTCCAGCTGTGGGAGGTTGCCACTGTGAACTCTGGGGTCTAATCCCCAGTTGGGCCCCCCAGCAGAGAGCACCAGAACTAAGAAAGGTGCCCACAAAACATCTGGCTGTGAAAAGCAGCAGGGTTGCTGTCTTCCAGGGAGAGACGCCTAGAAATGCAAGCACTCTCTTAAAGGGCTAACACACAAAACTTTACGCACAGGCACTCCCCATGGGTTCCAGCAGAGGGAGGGCAGAATGGACTGGAGCTGTGTGAGCAGAAGCCAGGGTTGGGGTCCTAGGGTTAGAGCTCAGAAGGCAGACAGCCTGGTTTTCTGTGTTGAGTCATTCCTCACACTGCAGAGGTAATCTTTCTCAGGCAGAATTTTGTTGTCCAGGTGGTTTTTGCCTGGGGAGGAGGGAAGACAGTTGACTGACCGTACCAGAAAACCCCTTGCCCCACCATGTGGCATTTCTGAGACCCATTAAGAGACTGAGAATAACAATTAGCCTCCAGGCAGAAGCAACTGCCCCACCCTGTTGGAAAACCTCTCACCACACCTGTGAACAATTGCCGGAGTGCTACTCCAGACTGAATCCAATCAGTCTATAGGCAGGTGAGACTCTGGAGGACTTGAGTCTTTGCCTGATCTAATTAGTCAGAAACAGTATTTGACTGTCCTGCACTAGAGCTTTGGAGGCATAGCAGACCTACCTAATACATAGTCACAAACCCAAACAGGCAACCAAAATGGGGAGACAAAAAAAAAAAAAAAAAGAACAAGAGAATTCTTCAGAAAATAAACGAAATGAAGATAAGAAACTTATCTGACATTAGTAGCTCTGCGCACAAATCCATGCACCAATTGCTCTCTGTGGGGCCTGGCCACTTTGTGCCTGCTGCAAAGAGGTCTCCATGGCCCAGAAGCCCATCTGCACCCTGGCCTGGTCAGAGGCCCATCTGTGGCAGGGCCTGAAATGCTTGTCACTGTGGTGATGAAGCAAGCATTCTGTCAGGCCACTCTCAGCGGCTGCATGCCCTGGAACTGGGGCACTCTGGTGGGGCGGAGAGGACTGGGTGCCGCCATTTTGTGGCTATGGGTGCCACCATCTTTGTGATGGAGTCATGGTTAATTTGCATATTACCCTTTTATTAGAGAGAATAGAATTCAAATTAATGATGGTAAAGATACTCAACAGCATAAGAAAAAATATAAAGTAACTATGAAAAAAGAACAGGCTGAAGTAAAGAATGACATAGCACAAATAAAGAACACACTGGAAGGAATACATAGCAGATTAGGGAAAGCTGAATATTGGATCAGTGAATTAGAAGACAGGATAGAAAAAAATCAGAGAACCAAAAAGAAAAAAAAACAATGAAAAAACAGGACAGTTTAAGGTATCTGTGGGACTACATGAAATGTAACAATCTTTGCATAATAGATGTGCCAGAAGGAAAAGAAAGTGAGCAAGGAATAGAGAATGATTTTGAAGAAACAATGGCAGAAAACTTCCCTAACCTGGTGAAGGAAAAAGTCACACAAGTTCAAGAGACACAGAGAATCCCAAGCAAAAAGAACCCAAACAGACCAAAGCCCAGGCACATCATAATTAAAATGCCAAAAATTAAAG